TTTCTTAGGTTTCAAGATACATGGAGCTACATTGTGTTTGTGTGTGTGTGTGTATGTACGCGTGCGTGCGCGTGTGTGTGTGTGTGTGTTTGGTTCCAAGAGACGTGGAGCTACAATGTGTGTTTGTGTGTACGCGTGCGTGTGTGTGTGTGTGTGTACGCGTGCGTGTGTGTGTGTGTGTGTGTGTGTGTGTGTGCGTGTGTTTGGCACACGCCGTGTACTCTCTGGTGCAGGTACTACACGAATGCGAAACGCGACAAACTCTACAACGTCATTAGCCTGGAGTTCACCAAGACTAAGTTGGAGCCTCTAGTTGAGTCACCCATTCTGGTACGTCAGCAATCCTACATACACTTGAGAGGATCAAAAGCGTTTCTGCTGTAACTCTGAGTTTCACGGTTTAAACCGATCATCAGACAGCAAGTTGGACTACAATTTTCAGAAGATATGATTGATATAGGCTGCAATCAATCAATCCTATGCATGTAACGTTACATGTAGTACACTCTTATCTGTTGTATCCGGGCGGTCCGGGACCGGGGGCTCTGCCCTTCATTTGGAAATGTTCGTAATCATGTACATCTTGATGTGGAAGGCACGTAGATCTGGCATATTACGTCACTCCTGGTTTTTCCACAAATTGGTAGAAAAGTAGTAATATATCCACTAAAACTCACTCACAGGGTTCCCCGTAGACCAAGATGCCCGTAACTTGGAGGTCCGGATAGGAGCCGTGAGAAATAAGTGCACTGTAGTTGAGCACTCCACTGCACTACTGTCTCCCCTGTATGCCGTGTTGGGGGGTTTGGTGGGCGTTTGAGGCTCATGTCATACATGATCATGCTTAGGCTCGTTCTGAGAAAGTATGGATTTTTAACTCCTGATTGGTTTGTGCAATGTGTTTATATTGGTTTATCAATGCCCCATCACAAGCTGTATAGTATGTATTCGTAACCGTGTACGAATTGCTCATTTGTCTTTTCTTCTTCCTACTGCTTGCTTGCTGAGGCTGCTGTTGCTGTTGTTGTTGTTGTTGTTGTTGTTGTTGTTGTTGTTGTTGTTGTTGTTGTTGTTGTTGTTGTTGTTGTTGTTGTTGTTGTTGTTGTTGTTGTTGTTGTTGTTGTTGTTGTTGTTGTTGTTGTTGTTGTTGTTGTTGTTGTTGTTGTTGTTGTTGTTGCACGCAGGTACGTCATTTGGATTGGGTGGACTTGGTGTGGCCGGAAATATTGCGCGCTTTGCAGCAGGAGGCCACCAACCGACTGGTCGACATGAAATATCCCAAAGTGCAAAAGTATGTGTTTTGTTTGTTCTTGTTGATGGTGCTGCTGCTGCTGCTGCTGCCGCCGTTGTTGCTGTTACTGGCCGACTGCTGGTGCTGTTGATAGTACTCCAGGTGTAGCTGCCCTATTGCTGGTGCTTGTGGTGCTGCTGCTGTTGTTGGCTTACTGATTGTGCTGCTGTTGCTGTTGCTGGCTGCCCTACTGCTGGTGGTTGTGCTGGCGCTGCTGTTGCTGGTCTACTGTTGTTGTTGGCTTACTGATTGTGTGGCTGTTGCTGTTGCTGGTCTACTGCTGTTACTTGTGCTGTTCCTGTTGCTGGCTTACTGATGGAGCTGCTGTTGTTGTTGCTGGTCTCCTGCTGTTGCTTGTGGTGATGCCGTGCTGTCACAGGTACTGCCTGATGAGCGTCGGTGGCTGCTACACAGATTTCCGTATCGACTTTGGTGGCACATCCGTCTGGTATCATATTCTCAAGGGTGGAAAGGTCAGCATTCCCTGTCTGTTTGTCTGCACGCTTGTCTGTTTTTGTGTCACACACATGCACACAGTATATAGATGGACGATGGGTGTAGATACAGACATACATCTGTCTGTATGTCTGTCTGTCTGTATGTCTGTTTATCTGTCTGTCTGTCTGTCTGTTTCTCTACCCATCATCCATCCGTACTTGTATGTATATTTACCTCTCTGTCCATCATTCTGATTGACAAGCTCCTTATAATCCCGAATGTGTCTTGTAGCAGAACCTGAGAAGGAAGTGGAATGAGAAGAAGAAAGCTGGCATTGGCTTAAGTGTACAGCATTTCACTGATTAGAAGTCGCACTTGATGATAAGTCGCAACAGGTCTGAGCCAAGTTGTTTCAATACAGTACATTCACATATTACGTAGGAAGAAGTCACGCTCGATTGTAAGTCACATCACCTCCTTTAGGGGTCTTCCGTAATTTTCGAAAAATTAAAAATCCGTCCTCGTGCAAAATTGTCTCTGACCCACCCACCCACCCCCATTTTTTTCCGTTAAGTTTTTGATTTTACCGATGCCCAGCTGGAAAATAATAACTCCTGACCCCATGTTTTCTGACTGCACCTACATTGTATGTCAAGTACTAGTAGCTAAGTACAGTGAGTAGTAGGTCAACCGACGGACATGCACGTCCTACAACTACATGAAAAGTCTGAAAAGTCATGTATAGTAGATACTGGTGTTTGCGACAATCGATCCTACACTACGTCTACAGCAGGGAGTCGTAAATACCGGTATTTTACGACTCCATGGTCTACATTACACTACACAGTGCAACACGTGTATGAAAGTCCCGGCCTGGAGCAAAAAAAAAAAGTACGAAAAATCAAAAAAATTAATTCCGCCAGCACTCTTGACCACCCACCCCCTTTTTGCCTGAGGACGGATTTTTTAATTTTTCGAAAAATACGGACGACTCCTTACCTGTTCATTGGTTGATGGAAAGATGCAAACGGGAAAACGTCTGAAGAAAAAATTGACTGGCGCCACCAGGACTCGAGCCAGGGGCCTTCACTTGAGGGCAGCGGTGCTCTAACCCTTCTGTTGCAAACCACCAGTTCTCAAGTGGGAAAGGCCTTCTCGCTTATGGCATTGTATTCATTGCAATGTTGTATTGTGACTCGGCCGTAGCGCTGATGTTGCTGCATGGCATACGCTATATGCGCTGTGTTCAGTTTACAGTATACGCTGTTATGTCATGTTTTATATGTGTATGTTTTTCATACACATCTACACTGTTTTGCATGCTATAAATACCTGCTGCTGTTATTACTGTTCATTATTGTTATAGTCCATCGAACTGAAATATACTGTCAAGAATAAAATAGTTGTCCTCGTGCCGTGTGGTCGTTCGTTCCTGACACTTTAGAGAACCAGAGGTTTCACAACACCTTCTTTGCCGTTGAGGTTCAGTGTAAAAACGTGTGACTAACTCTACTGTTTACAATGCGGCCGTCTGTGTGTGTGTGTGTGTGTGTGTGTGTGTGTGTGTGTGTGTGTGTGTGTGTGTATGTGTGTGTGTTTGTGTGTGCGTGCGTGTGTGTGTGTGTGTGCGTGTGTGCGTGTGTTTGTTGTGCACTGCAGGTTTTCTGGCTGATTCCTCCGACCCCAATCAATCTTCAGGTCTATGAGCAGTGGGTGTTGTGGGGTAAACAGCAGGATATCTTCCTGGGTGACATGGTCGAGACGTGTGCCCGCGTCGAATTGAAACCAGGCTGGACTTTTGTCATTCCTACTGGTGAGTGAGTGTGAGTGAGATTGTGTAAGTGTGTGTATGTATGTGCCAGCTAGTTCGGTTGGTGGGTGCACTTATGCCTGATTGTGTTGGGTCTGTTGCCAACGGGCTCGGCTGCTTGAAGGTGTAATGCGTGTGTGTGTGTGTGTGTGTGCATGTATGTGTGTGTGTGTGTGTGTGTGTGTGTGTGTGTGTGTGTATGTGTGTGGTTGTGTGTGTGTGTGTGTGTGTGTGTGTGTGTGTGTGTGTGTGTGTGTGTTTGTTCGTTGACAGGCTGGATTCATGCAGTTCACACTCCTGTGGATTGGCTAGTGTTTGGTGGAAACTTTCTGCACAGTTTCAACATAAGCGGTCAGCTTGCCGTGGCGGACATTGAAGAAACTACTAAGGTACGTGAGCTGTGCTGTGCATGTCTGTCATATCTTCTACAGCTCTACCACGCCAATGCCTTGTGTGAGCTTTCCAAGGCTTAGAGTTGTGCATGAAGGTTTCTGTTTTGTTATGCTCCTACGTCGTTCATCGATGTTGTCGTGTAACTGTGCGTGTATGTGTCTCTGTTTCTCTATGCCTCTGTCTCTGTCTGTCTCTGTGTGTGTGTGTGTGTGTGTGTGTGTGTGTGTGTGTCTCTCTCTCTCTCTCTCTCTCTCTCTCTCTCTCTCTCTCTCTCTCTCTCTCTCTCCATCTCTCTCTCTCCATCTCTCTCTCTCCATCTCTCTCTCTCTCCATCTCTCTCTCTCTCTCTCTCTCTCTCTCTCTCTCTCTCTCTCTCTCTCTCTCTCTCTCTCTCTCTCTCTCTCTCTCTCTCTCTCTCTCTCTCTCTCTCTCTCTCTCTCTCTCTCTCTCTCTCTCTCTCTCTCTCTCTCTCTCTCTCTCTCTGTCTCTCTCTCTCCATCTCTCTCTCTCCATCTCTCTCTCTCTCCATCTCTCTCTCTCTCTCTCTCTCTCTCTCTCTCTCTCTCTCTCTCTCTCTCTCTCTCTCTCTCTCTCTCTCTCTCTCTCTCTCTCTCTCTCTCTCTCTCTATCACTCTCTCTCTCTCTATCACTCTCTCTCTCTCTCTCTCTCTCTCTCTCTCTCTCTCTCTCTCTCTCTCTCTCTCTCTCTCTCTCTCTCTCTCTCTCTCTCTCTCTCTCTCTCTCTCCATCTCTCTCTCTCCATCTCCGTACACTTCACTTTGTACCACTATGATTCCCTCTGTGTCTTAAAAATACAAAATGTGGGGAATCGATCTCCATGTGGCCGTGGCTGTTGAATTTATTTTCCTGAGAACGAGAAAGTATTCTGCCTCTGCTGCTATGTCCTTTGTCGACGTGAGCTGCGGGTCATTCGCGTTGTTTTTAGACGCGCGAGCCAAATAACGCGAGCTGAACTTTCGCGTCACGTCAGAAATAACGTGAATCTTAACCTCTCTAATAAAAGCTCAATATGGAAGATGTGTATATGCAATATTTATGTTTGTACCATCATCAACAATAATAGAAAACAGGATCACTGCACTTCGGAGTATCCAAACATAAATATGTAGTTATCCTGTCAAGCAAGATTACATAACCCCATGTACTCTTGTGTCAAAGCACAGGATCTTATTCTTACAAGGGAAGAGGCTGCACAGTACACGTATTATCACAATTTATCAGACGTATTCGGAATCTGTGGTGGACAAAGCCCCATTAGACCTTGTACAGACTAGTGCAAAGAAAAACGTGTGATGCGTTGATTCGCCGTACACATGTCGTAATAATCACTGGTGCGTGGAACATTGCATCATAAAAATGACGTCAACTTGAAAATCTGTGGTGACAGCAGGGTGTGCGGGAGTTTCACACTCTTCGGGGGTTATATACTCTAATTTCAGAAATTTTAGGTGCTCACTATTTTTCAGTATGAGGGCAAAAGGCCAGGTTAGGCGAACAGAACTTTTAGGTGTAGAGAAGCAGTTCCCTATTGGATTATGTGTGTTAGTGTTTGTTCGGTGTATTGAAACTTTAGGTATGAAACAGACGAACCAAACGTACGGAAAAAAAAGTACACCAACAATTTGTGATATTACAGTACTATTGTTGTTGGGTGTTGCCGGTTGAATGCTGTTCACGGCAGCTATCCTATGCCTAAATATGGGCTTGTATATTCTGATTGTCTGATCGCTGACAGATACGGACGCAGCGAAGCTCTCTCCTGCGCCCGCATGCGCCGAGATCCCACTGCTGTCAACGGATGACACTGCAGCCCAGTCGCCAGCGACGGCGGCAGCTGCTGCTGCTGCTGCTTCGTCAGGAGATGGGAACAGCTCACAAGGCGGCAAGCCACCTCCATCACCGCCATCCTGCCTGCTCTCGGACATGGCCTGTCTCAGCTCGTATGAGATTGATGGCTTGCGACGGCTGCTGGCCGAGCTGAACGTTTCCACGACGATGGTGAGGGCGTGTCCCGAGGAGCTGGGGGATCCTGGGGAGCTCATGTCGACCGTGGAGGTAAGTTGTCGTGTGTGATGTGTGGGTAAAACCGAAGTTACCGAAAATAAATCTCCACCTAAATTTTCCGGTTTTACAGTAGCCTATCTTCAGGGACATACATATGGGACATACATAACTATTGGCGTAGATTTGCTTAATCGTTATGCCTTGTATTCTCTTGTCAAATGTACACCGTAGATTCTGTTGAACGAGTATGAAAGCTAGTATTCTCCTCTGCAATGTACAAGCATTTTCCTGTGCAATGTATGCTGTATATTCTGTTGAATGAGTATGAATTCTCCTGTGCAACGTGCGCTGTAGATTCTGTTGAACGAGTATGAAAGCCGGTTTCGCGAGGACAAGGCCACTGGACATTTTATGCTCATACCGGGTATACAATCTGAGGTATGGTGGTGATTGCTGTGTGGTACTGCTGCTGCTGCTATTGCTGCTAATAGTGCAGCTATTGCTGCTGCTGCTTCTGCTGTTGCTGATGTTGCTCTCCTCTCCATCCCCACCATCTGCCTGTGGAATATTTGACAGTGGCAACATGTACATGTACATGTAGTAACAGGTATATGTTCATGGTGTTTCTTTCCTTCTGCGTGTGTAGAATCTGCGTGTGTCGCCCGCACCAATACCTGACAACATTGTGGAAATAGTTGCAGTTGAAACAGAGATTGTATGCAAGTCCTCAGCTGCTACTGCATCTCCAAGAAAGACAGCAGGTAAGCTACAATGACAGGGGCGTCACAGGGCGGTTGGGAGTGGTACAACGGGGGTGTCCCCCGGTAGAAAAAAATTCGGATTTTTCGGCCAACAGGGCACGTTTTAGCGCTCCACAGCCACAAAGGAGGGTTCTCCTAGCACTTATCAGACAACCCCACTCGTACTCCAGCTCCAAAAATACTTCTCATAGATTTGTTGGTCGTACTTCGTAGTTAGCCAAAGCAAAAAGGAAGCCATTGCCCTCGAAAAAATCGCAAAATCCGAAGTACAAGCGTGCTGCTTGCCGCACGTTCTAGCGCCAGCCGCTGTGCAAAAACGTATGTTATTACCACAATGACGATGATATTGCTTTCACAATAATGACCACAACCTAACTGGGTTATCAGTAGGAGCAGTGACACAGCCTTACTGCTCCAAGTAGGATTTAGAAGAGAGTGAAGGGAGAGCAGACCTGGCCGGTCCAAGCAAGGAAGTAATCGGCATCAGAGGTGAGCACGCAGCATCGCAGATTGTCTCGAATTGCGCATCACACCAGCGGCAAAATTGCTCCTGTGCATGCAAGTGGATTTCCTTGCACTTCGCAGTTTGGGAAATGCTCGATTATGATAATTCTGCGTGCGAGTGCACTAGCCCTGAACATACATGTAGGTGACCCGTTTGTGGTGTCTCATAGCCTACCTCACGACCTTCTGCTTTCTTTCTGCATCACTTGTATCTTGCAGGTATATCATCTCGTGACGACCACATTGAAGTCTGAATTTGAAGTGCGAAGATGCTTCAGCAACCACATCGTACTTTTCCATTGCTTTCATTGTGCTTCTACTGTGCATGTGTGTAATTTGTGGGGTATACATGTGATGACATTGTATGCTGGCGACACGGTCAGATTTTGTCCATGCGTGTAACGTACACCTGCATGTTATGCATCGAAAAGGATCTGCCACTTGCGATCCAGGGACAAGTATCAGGTCAGCTTTGTCTTGTGTGGGCTGCACCAGATTGCTGTTCACTTTTCCATCTGTTGGATATGTGACTTTCTGCAAGTCTCTGGTGTATGGTGGCCACTTCTTTGCTTGTCACTTTGTATGATATTACATTCTGTATTCGCTGCTTCCATGGCGTGGTCTGCAAACTGCAATCCTTGGGCAAATGTCATGTTTGCTATGTTGTGCTTTGGCCATCAGCTTGTCTACACGTTGTAGTTGAATTATTTTGTTCCACAACTGACTTCCTGAAGTACGGTGGCCACTGCTTTGCATGGCATTTTACATGAAGAATTTCCTGTTTGTGTCGTGTGCATGTGCGTATGTGTGCCGTGTGCATCCGCGTGTTTGTGTATCTGTGTGCGGGGTAAGCGAGGTGGAGAGGGCTGGTATGTATCAGTGTGTTATCGTACTCTCATGCCTACATACAGTACATCGCGCGCGTGTTCATCATGTTTACCTTCGGGGTTGGGGTGGGGAGGGAACGGAAAAAGAACTGAAATTATCCATATAAAAATCGCTCTGTGAGCGCTTCTGAAAAACCTTTACTGGCGCTGCCCCGTCGTAAAAGTAAGAAATTAAAACTGGCCCATTAGAGAGGTTAAAGGGGCACTCCGGCTTCATTTTCGACGCCGAGTTTTCGATGCCAAGACGAAGGTTAGTGAAAGAGAAGACCCCTCGAACAAGAACGAGTCTCCAGAAGCGATCGAGTCGAGCAGGCAGACGACTTTTGAATTTCGCCGAACGAGCGCTGATGACGTAATGAGGGATTAGCTTGCCAGTGGAAATGCATCTGCGCACATACATTTCACATACTTTTTGGCCAATTTTCAATCGAAGAGGAGGTTGTTTTCTATGTTCTCTCAACGTCGTGAGCGATCCCGTCTTCTATACCCTTCCAGGTACCCTGAAGGTCCTCCAGAGGAGAATTTATCTCCAGCAAAGCGTTGTTGATCCGCTAAATTCGTCTCGAGACATATTCAACCAGTGCAGTGCTGATAAATGTAGAATATTAAATCTGTGATAATTGTCGACGATGGAGAGAGAGGTTGATAGCCGCTGTCGCAGGGAAAGTGAAGCTGCTGAAAGTAACGACGGGGGGTAATCATGCAGTTTAGGGTCCCAAATTATTTCGCACTTTCCCAGTGTTCAGTGTACTGTCACACGCGTTTTCAGTGTACTTTCACTATGCTTCTTCTTTTCTCGTGTGAAAGTTTTGTTTCCTTTGTCAAAGTTTTGTTTCCTGTGGATTCTGCCTGGCTCACGCATCATCTCTGACGGCTGGGCCGCATACGCGCAGATCAGGAACATCGACGGTGGCGTATACCAGCACGATGTCGTCGTCCACGACGACAACTTTGTTGATCCGGACGACCGAACGATCCACACCAACAACGTGGAAAACATGTGGATGCGGGCGAAGCGCCAGCTGAAGCGCAACTTCGGCACCTCGCGAGAGTTGTTCCCGACGTACCTCTGCGAGTTCGTGTGGAGACAGAGAGTTCGCGCGGAAGACAACACGTTCGGCTCCCTGCTCCGCAGTGTTCACCAGCAGTACCCAGTCTGATCTGTCCTCGGTTTTCATGAAAATAAAGTTCATGATCTGAAAGTACACTGAAAACGCGTGTGACAGCACACTGAACACTGGGAAAGTGCGAAATAATTTGGGACCCTAAACTGCATGATTACCCGACGGGGAGCTTGTTAGCATCACATGTGCATCCAGACTTCAAAGCAGCTTGACGGAATCGGGGAGTACTGACTATTTGTCTCGCCCTCAGTTTAGTGAATTTTATGACCAGAAATTATTCGATCAGGATCCCTTCTACAAGATGTGTAGTGTAGTACAGGTGATTTCTGAACTTGACGATATGGAGACGGACCAGTAGACCTACCAACAACGTGTACCTGCAGGAAATTCACCCAAGGCTATTGCTATCCTCTTCAGTGGCTGTTGTTTTTTAGTAAAAATATGTTCACTTCTCTCAACATACTCCTGCATGGCAGTAAGAAGGTGCGCTGTGGAATTCAACGCCACAATCTTCGCCCAGCTGTGGATGAAGCATGGTCAAGTCATGGCAGTACATATACTTGAAACAGATGAGAAATTGAAGTTTCTTTTGTGATGGGAAGTTTGACAGCCCCAGTGACCGAGTGAAGCGTTGTCTTTTGCCGTGGCACAAATTGCTGAAGAATCCGAGATGGTCTTGGAATTATGCACATGGATACTACCAAAAATAATGGTGGCATGAACCATTGTGGAATAGGACAGCTCACAGAGAATACTGGAATAGCTCAAGTATCTCTAGGTGATTGTAAATCCTGTTCTGGCTGATAGATTTGGCCTGCTGCGCCCGTCCATGTACAATGATGGTAACATGCATTTCTGTTTTCTACATATTTGCCGGCTACTAGACTGTGGTATTACAGTTGCAGGTCCCTTATATAGAAATATGTTCAACCCCCCCCCCCCCCCCCCCTCCTACATACCCACATTATAAATATTAACTAACAATTTCACTGTTGGACTCGCCGGCGGCTAGAGAGCAAAGGATTAATTTATAGCAAAGAAAAGGACCAGGGAACTACAAGTTACACTATAATGTCCATGAACTATTTCACTGTATTTAAATTTTGTTTGATACCCTGAGAACTCTGAAACTTTGCAGCACCGTGGATTATATGTGGATACAACATTTATGGAAGGAAAAGTGGAATAATGTCTAACACATAATGTCATTGTTCAAATAATTACAGCACTGAATTGTTGAGATTACGAGCACATTCCAATCAGCATTCTACATAAGCGGTGGCAATCGTTAGGAATAGGTCGGGAGTTGTCAGAGTGCTCTAGTATTATGAGAGAATGTTTCGTTTGTCTAATCGACGGCTCGTTTGAAGCCAGAGTTGTTTGAACTTGTTTCAGTCGACTGGATTCTAGACAGTCGAAGGAAAACTATGAAGTATACACCAGACGTAGTCCGTAAGGTATCTCGTGAGAATTCTGTCGGTACCGTCAGGTATCAGCTTGCAAAGATGGCTCCTCTCTGTTTCTTGAAAGCCTGTCTAGTTGGACTCTGGCTCCAGCGATTCCCTTCTCAGAGCAGATACCATACCCAATACGGTCAATGCATATTGGACAGACCTGTGTACACAACAGAAATAGTGGAGAGAAATCTCTCAGCTCATAAACACATCAGTGAAGTTTGAACTGCCGTTGTTTGTGGCCATCAGTAAAAACCTATCGACTATAAGAATAATGTGCAAAGAAACCTCTATAACTAGAGCTAGGGCCATGGAATTATAAAGCATCTAACTTAGGGAACTGCCAATTCTGGTCTGAGTTGCGTTCGAGGCCTGCAATTCATGATGGCTATCGTATGTTGCATTGACCAGAGATCATATAAAACTTCCAAATGCCACATTGAAACGCGCACCACTTTCGAGTACTTTGGTATCCCCCACCAAATGGGCATTCGTTCCCGGGGTGACAGGCGTCACCATTCGTTATGCCTGGATCAGATTTCATTGACCCCAACTGTCATGAAGAATCATTTTTACTTTGACTGGATTTCAGTACAAGTTGTAGAACTGCAGAGTCAATTTTGTTGTATTTGGGCAACCATTTCTCTAGGAACGCTCTATTTGGAAAATAATTTTTTTTTATAAAATGCATATCCAAATTCCACATCTACCCAAATCGGAATACTTGATCACGTATTCAGTACTACACGGAACGTTTAGAAAATGCCAGGGAATAGGAATTTGCTAACGAGAACTCCAGGCCAGGGTACTAGCATACGAACAAAACAAGATAAAAACTCACCAGTATACTTGTAATTGTAGTAATTCATGTCGGTGTAATATTCACGATAAGCAACAAGCCACCCTCCGATTTGGTCAAGCTGCTTTGAAGTCTGGTTGTTCAGGTGATACAAACGGGCTCCCCGTTGTTACTTCCAGCAGCTTCACTCTCCCTGCGACAGCGGCTATCAGCCTCTCTCTCCATCGTCGGCAATTATCACAGATTCAACATTCTACATTTATCAGCACTGCACTGGGTGAATATGTCTCGGGACGAATTTAGCGGATCAACAACGCTTTGCTGGGGATAAATTCTCCTCTGGAGGACCCTCAGGGTACCTGGAAGGGTATAGAAGACGGGATCGCTCACAACGTTGAGAGAACATAGAAAACAACCTCCTCTTCGATTGAAAATTGGCCAAAAAGTGTGTGAAATGTATGTGCGCAGATGCATTTCCACTGGCAAGCTAATCCCTCATTACGTCATCAGCGCTCGCTCGGCGAAATAGACCGATCCCCTTATTATTGTCTGGGTTCGAGCAAGGGGGCAACTCCGCAGTCGCGTGGGATCCTGCTGCACACACGCGACCAACCTCACCTCGGCTGTGCGCGACTTCTCGCATGCGAAGTGCAGAGCACACGAGATCTACATGCAGTGCAAGCCTGTCTACAAAAAAATGCCACAAGGACTTTTGATTTGAGCTGTTTTGTTTTTGTTTAGACGTCTTCCTTTTTACGACTTCAGGATGCCTTCTCAGAACATTGCTGCGTTCCTCACTGTCAGAACAGGAGGACGAAGCAAACAAGTCATTTCACTCCTTTCCTCGTGTGGAGCCACTGCGGCCTGGAGCAAGCGGATCCAGGCTATTCCCCGTGAGGAAGGACGTAGTTTTAGGGTCACTCTGAATATTTGAGTTGCAGCGATCATTTCGATCCCGAAATCGAAATCGTTTTGCCCAGCTCTACAAGGACAGGATGAGTCCAGGAAACCAAACAGCTGTCCTACGGTACCAGGTTTGCTTTTCGCAAGAGAGTGGAGTCTGGACGCCCTGCTCCCCATGATCGCAAAACAGTATTTGCTGAGCCTAGTGCAGTTCGGTCATGGAAGTGCAGCGTCTGCATCACGAGCTCCCCATGCTCGCAAACCAGTATTTTGCTGAGAGGCAACGGCACTTTGAGTTGGAAAGGAACCTGGCTTAGTGCAGTTTGGTCCTGTAGTGGAAGTGCAGCATCTGCATCAGGAGTTGGCAGCAAGTAGAGCTCGTGTACAGAGTCTCGTGGAGCAGTTGGACGATGTGAGGACTGGGGTGAAGAAAGCCGAAAAACAGCTTACGTACAATAACATAAAGAAAGACTCTGAGCCGCTCCAGTTTCTGACTGGTTTGCCTTCAGGTGTTTGGACCGCTCTGTGGGACTTCTTTGAGCCTAGCTGAGAAAATGTAATGCGCCGCGCCAGATCTGCGAAGACGGAAGCTGAGGGACGGCGGATACAGTTGGAGGTGGCCGTAAATCGCCAATGAGCATGTAATGGAGGATCAGCTGCTATTGGCATTGATGTGTCTAAGCCTGGGCCGAATGGAACAGAAGCTGGCATGCGTGGCACAAGTTAACCATCCGTTTCACGGTATATAGCTAGCTGAGCTGGAAAGATGTCTTGTTCCTCCGTTTGGGCATGATTCCCATCTGGGTGAGCTGGCGAGATGTTCAGTCATCAATGCCATGTACCGCAAGACATTCTGCAATGGGGATGAAGCAGCTCTATTTTGCCATGCACTTAGGGTTCTCGCACCGGCACAGCACAACAAGACCCAACAGATCCTTGCGCTCTTATTTTCTCCCATGGTAACATTGCCGGTCACAACACCCAGTAGCCAGTCGCAGATGCAACCAAATCAACCAGGTTTTTTTTCCAATACTGAAACCAAAGGTATACCAATATTTGCATCGAATGCAGTGATGATTTCAATACTGTTCACTAGTACAACACATTACCAGACTGGCATATAATCATGATAATATTATCCATTTCGCAATCACTGTCATTGCTTTCTTAGATCTCCAATCATCAATATCGGACCATAAACCGTCTACTAGTATCATCTTATATTATTTCATCATTAGTATCCTGCTACTATCCTCCTTTAACAATGAGCTAGAAGAAACGAAACAGCTGTCTAGAGGCGTAAATAATATCTGTCAACGGAAGTGTCCTTGCTGTGCTGGTGTGTTTATGCTTCGTGCATTAGTTCGGCCAAGAGCGCATGGTGGTGGCGGGTTGAGGATGTAGTACAGCGGAGTATGACCGAAAGCTCTGTCACGATGTATTTTATTAGGAAGGTATAGAAACGGAAAAAAACTGTATCTTCATCTTGGGCGTAAACAGCCCGTCTCACATTAAATATACTAGAAAATAGTTCACTCTGAACATGCAGTCTTCCTAAGAGATAGAGGGGGGGGGGGGGGGTATATTCATAGGTTCGAAAGAACCGCACACACACTTTGCTGCAGACAGCGGCAAGCTTTGGCCCTCGTGCTTCGAAGAGGGAGCAATCCACTGCGCTACGCTTGCGATTAACAGCAAGCTTCAAACTTTTCAAAGGTACGACTCATCACTGGCTCTGGGGTAATGTTCCTGGAACAAATGCCCCATTGCCGACTGAGGGCCAGGGAGCACGCAATCTGCCTTCCTGGGCGAGAAGTGTTCCACCACAAGAAGCAGCACGAATACATGCTGACAAAGACCACCATCACCACCAGCCGGCACACAGCACACTGTTCTTCAAACACCATCCACTCCGTCCATGTGTTTGCACTATCCTCCTCTAGCTCTTCACGCTCAACAAATACCACGCACTGCTCATCGGTTTTTTTGCTTCCTCTGGGTTGGCTAGCCCTTCGACTTGACAAAACAGCGATCACCACTGCACTGCTATCGTCACCTCATAGCAGTCGCTTCCACCAGTGGCTTTTCCTGTCTTTGCAAGGTGTCCAAGGATGGCTGCTGTTGTCACTACAGGCAAATCAGAAGTACTTTAGTGGCTGATGTCCAACCAGATCGTTGGAAAATCGATTTTTCCACTTCAGGGCTGCTGATCGCGATCGCGACTTGGTGACTTGGCAACACCACGGTTACCTTCATAGAAGATGGCTCTGGAGAGGAAAAGGCAGACCAGAAAAAGGTTACTATTGTCTTCAGCACCGATCTCAAGGAGAAAGAAATACGGTCTGCTAAAGCCTAGGCACAAAATAAATCTCAAAACACGATTCACGATTCGAATATTTCCACAACAACAAAACTCACCTCTGGAGTAACTCCTGTTTGTGGCCCGAGATCGTTCCCTCCCGCGCCTTGAAAAAATCCTACAGCTGCATCACAGTCCATGTCTCTCTCGGAGACTCTGCTCCTACCAGCAGGAGGTTCAGCACCGCTCGAAGCCATCGCAAACTACTTGAACTAAGCAGAAGACATTCCAAAACAAACCTGAAACACACTGTCAAAGATGCTCACGGTCACGTTCAAAAACTAGCTCGATCGCGAGTGAGGTTGCCCCCGTGCTCGAACCCAGTATAATAAGGGGATCGGTCTATTCAAAAGTCGTCTTCCTGCTCGACTCGATCGCTTCTGGAGACTCGTTCTTGTTCGAGGCGTCTTCTCTTTCACCAACCTTCGTCTTGGCATCGAAAACTCGGCGTCGAAAATGAAGCCGGAGTGCCCCTTTAAAGGGAAACTGAACGCCAAAAATAAGTATGGCTTATCCGAAGGAGAATTGGGCACTGATTCCGATGAGCTATGTCTCGAGCCGATCAGAGAAGAGGAACCGTGTCAAATTTCATAAATAACACCTTCCATATTTGGAAATTGGGCTTGATGACGTGCGTACTGCTTAGCTGTCACCATGCTGTGCATGCTCTGCAGTGTAATTGAATGGAAGAAAACAATTACTTTGGTGTTTTGCAGCTCTATTCCGTTCCCTGACGGTACCCAAATCTAGATGTAGGAGTCTGTTGAGCAGGAGAGTGACACATGTCTTCCCGAAGGCTGTCCAGCCTGCAGTGGTGATGAAGAAGACACGAATATCACCCCAAGATCGATTGTAGCGAATTGGAAAACTCATGGTGAATTTGCTTCCACTCCAAGGCAATGTCGAGGTATGAAGGGTGCTTGTACTGCCTTCCAAAGTGCAGCGGAGATGAACATGGCTTTGCATAGCTGTTGCTCTACGCCAACTTACCTACTCTTGCTGGTTCCGTAGTGGTATATTGCAAATTTCGTGGACGAACAATTCGAGTCACTAGTGGCTAGTGAGCACCACTAACAGGTGAGATTTTTCAATTTGATAAAAATTGTTTTTGTTTGAGAACTGACGGTGGCAGTCATTTGACTCAGTATAGGTGTCTCTGCTGCTTCTTTCCCTTCATTGGTAGGGTTGTGCTTGATAGTACAAGTGCTTGAAGTAAAATAAAATAAATAGAACATGTGGAACATAAATCTAATCAAGCATCAGTACATGTATTGCGAATTTCAACTTCAAAGCACATAAAATCACAATGATCACAAAGTTTATGGAATCAGGAGGACTCCGTGTGTTCAACGAACACAATACACACATTCTATTTTGCGCGCACACATGTACACATGTGTGTGCGTGCACCCCCACCCCATCCCACAGACACACGCATGCAACGCGCACATCCATACACATGTGTGTGAACCCCCCCCCCCCCCACACACACACTCCTACCCATACAATATGCGTCTACCCCCAGCCCCCCCCCCACACACACGTGTGCACAGACGGATACACAAACACACACACACACACACACACACAAGATACTTGTAAGTGTACATGGTCTTCCTGGTGCAGATGCTGGGCCAGCACAATGGAAAATACCTCCATCAAGATGCTTGATCAAGTGTTGTGATAATGGCACTGTTTGTTTGTTTTTACAAAGATGTGTGGGAAGGATTACAATGCGTTATAATTCATAATATTATTGTTCTTTGCCTTGTACTGTGCAGACCAGAATGCTTCGCCATCAACTCCTGGCTTTCCATCGGCATGGTGTTCAGCTGCAGCGGCATCTGGTCCGGGGAGTACGTTGCTGGATGGCTGCACTGACACAGGATGGGTTTGCGTTGGCAATGCAATACGGCAGTCATCGCACATTATGAGCTACACGTTTATGTAATTTATATTGTCGCTCGTCCAGCAACGTCAAGGCTCTGCATGTAAACACAGGAGAACACCATAATAATTTTACTACTCAGGGGATAATAAGTATAGAATCAGACATGGATGTCAGGGCAGTATCGTTGATTCAGGCCCGAGAGCGGCCCAAGGCCGAAGGCCGCGGGCCGCTCGAGGGCCGGAATCAACGATACCTGCCCTGACATCCATGTCTGATTGTGTTTCACACTGCCACCCACGCACGACAGCACAAGTGAAACCCAGAACGCTCTCCTCAGCAGAACGTGCACGTGCAAGTGCACCTAGAACGCACCTAGCAGCGCAAACAAAGCCACTGTACTGCACTAATCTGCATAAATCGAACTTGAAATACATCAACTAGAAACACCGAGTGCCTGCCTGCCCAAGTTCTCAAGTCCTTTATGGCACTCGTTGCACAACAATGGCAGAAACTCACAAGCTGAAGTTCCACCTCCGTGCGCTCCGGCTGAAGTTTCGTTGTGAAGTTTCGTTCTGAAGTTTCATGTCAAGCAAGGTGAAGTTTCAACTCAAGCAAGGTAAAGTTTCATCTCAAGCAAGGTGAAGTTTCAGGTTGGTACGCTCTCGGGCTTTGTTGATTCAGGCCCTCGAGCGGCCCGCGGCCTTCGGCCTTGGGCCGCTCTCGGGCCTGAATCAACAAAGCCCTCGAGCGTACCAACCTGAAACTCAGAAGCTGAATCCTCCACGTCCCCGACCACCACCCCTAGAGGTTTCTTCCTTTTATACCTTCATGGCGGCGTGTTCAGTTTCACCTCCACACGCTCTCGGGACGTGCTGATTGGTCAAGGGCCTGAAATGCCACCGCATGGATACATGGACCGGATATCAGGCTTTTTCTTTCTCTCTTGAGTTGTTCCACCTCGATCAGGTAAGTCTCTCCACATGCGAGTATACTCATCACGTGATCATTCATGTTCTCCTACGGTGCCATTCAACTTTTCAAGCCCAAGGGCCTGAATGGCTGGGCATGATCAGAGGTTCATGCCCTGCCTGTGAGCGCTCTGATTGGCTCAAACCGTGGCAACGATCACGTGGCAAGTGTGAATTATAATTTTGGATTATCAATTTCTTGACATTTATGAGTTCCTGTCTAAACCATGTCGTGATATTGATTGCTATCTGCTCACAAAGTACCTCGTATTGTAACAATACTCTGCTTAATCACTACCCTCTGCCAATTATTAGATTCGCACAATATTCACAACATATGCAACACAATGCTGTCTATTGACACTACTTCGAACTGAAATGCTCACTACTCGTCTCCCGTTTTCAACTCCCTCTACCTTATGAATACTCTACTTTACTGGTTTCGTTTCTACCCTTTCCATTGCTGCCAGCCCCCAGTCTTTTTCAGTGGACAGCACCATATTGAAATTTTTGTGATTTGATGTACACATACTTTGAAATTGAAATTCGAATTACATGATCAGATTTTTGTTCCACATGTTCTATTTATTTCGACTTCAAGCACAACCCTATCGATGAAGGGAAAGAAGCCGCAGAGAGACACCTACTGAGTCTAATGACTGCCACCGTCTGTTCTCAAACAAGAACATTTTTTGTCAAATTGAAAAATCTCACCTGTTAGTGTTGCTCACTAGCCACTAGTGACTCAAATTGTTCGTCCACGAAATTTGCAATATACCACTACGGAACCAGCAAGAGTAGGTAAGTTGGCGTAGAACAACAGCTATGCAAAGCCATGTTCATCTCCGCTTCACTTTGGAAGGCAGTACAAGCACCCTTCATACCTCGACATTGCCTTGGAGTGGAAGCAAATTCACCATGAGTTTTTCAATTCGCTACAATCGATCTTGGGGTGTTATTCGTGTCTTCTTTTATTATTATTATTATTATTTATTCACAATCACGTGGCACTAGCCAATGAAATGGTGATGTGGGCGATAGCCAGCCATGGCGGTAATACAGCTAGAGGGGGGGAAAGAAAAAGAATGAAAGGGGAACTGAAAAGCAAAAGAAGCTAGGGCAGGGCTGGATATCAACTAGTATGTTGCATTCTGCAGTAGCTGTGTGAATGTATTGTAACATTGGCAGGATTTTAGATGTTGTGGGAGGAGAGACCAATGGCGGTAAGCAAGGAAGAGAGGAGATGTTTGCATAGAGGCAGACCGCGCAATAGGGAAGCGGAGAGAGTTTCTGGTGCGCATGTCTTGAGATTGAGCAAACCAGCTTAGGCAGGAGAGAGCATGAAGAGGAGCAATGCCCAGCTTAATTTTATGAATTGTCTGGCATGCCAAAAAACGCACGCGGACCGAGAGCGGCACAGCAGAAGCAAGGCGGTATAAGTCTGCGCTTGGAGTCAGGCGAGGAAGCCGAAATAATATTTTCAAAAGACGCCTATGCATAACTTCGAGTCGAGCAATCAGTGTTTTAGAAATGCCAGCCCAAATTATGCAGCAGTAATCAAAAATAGGCAGAATGTAAGATGTGTAGATAACATGGCGACAGTCGGTGTGCAGGTGGGTGATGTGTGATGAGAGAAATCCCATTACTGAGCTAACACGGCTGTCTAAATTTTCGATCTGGGATTTCCAGGTTAAGTGTTGGTCAATAATGACGCCAAGATGCTTGTGTTTTTCAACGATGCAGAGCGGGGTTGTGGTGCCTGGAAAGGTGAAGGGACTGGTTACTAATGAAGATAGGTCACAGGAACAACTGGGGGGGATACACATTACAGCAGTTTTCGAAGAGTTGGGTTGCAATTTCCATTTTTCCATCCAATGAATAACGCCATCTATGTTAGACTGTAACTTGGCACTAGCCTCGGGGAGAGTGGGTGCTGTCACAAGTAGTGCTGTATCATCAGCATATAGTGATGTGTGATCCATTTCTGCCAGATCGTTTACATACATAAGGAAGAGGAGAGGCCCCAGGATTGATCCCTGAGGAACTCCAGACCGTACATGCCCTTTGGCAGACAGAGCAGAGCCGACACGCACCCTTTGCTGTCTGCCCGTCAGGTAAGTACTGAGCCACGTGAAGCAAGTACCATGGATTCCATGGCGCGACAGCTTGTATAGGAGCCCGCGTGTCCATACGGTGTCGAAGGCCTTGCTTAGATCAAAGAAACATAGCATGCTGTAATGGCCGTTCTCACGAACAGAAGACATCGATTGAACAAGTCTGAGAAGCTGCCAGGACGTAGAGTCGCCTTTTCGGAATCCAGACTGGGACGGATGTAGAACAGGAGACAGGTAAGTGTATAAGTGGTTGTACATAATACGTTCACACAGCTTGGA